CATACAAGTTATAACAATAGTGTTGTAGCGTATGGCACTTCCTGTGCCATACACTTTCTCTGTATACTATATTTCTGAACATGTGAATTCTACCAAGTGTAAATCCACACCAAAACATTGATGACACCAAATTTCTGAAAACTGATGACAGATCTGGCCAGCACAAATCCTGGCCCAGAATTTGGTCGGCCAAAACCTAACCCTAAACCCTAGGGCTCAGTTCACAGTAAATCACAATCCCCCGCTAGATTGTATGTCAAGCGACCTTTGTGGCTGCCACCGTATCCACTGTGTCTGAGCACTGTCGCCTAGCGACGCCTGCTCCGTATACGTCTAAAGAAAAGAAAAAAACTGTCTACTTGTGAACATCTCGTGTGTACATGCGAGGGAGACTTACTCTCCACCCCCCCCCGGTGGGAGGTGGAGTTCGGCCAACCTACCTGAACCCTTGAGGATTTTCTACCGGTAACTAACGTCGTGGCGGCAGCTCGACTCCGTCCTCGGACAGTTGCAGTTCACCCCACGCTCGAAGACGTCCTCCACGGTACTTCGCCGACTGCGCAAAGGCAAAACACTTCTCAACCTGCCGCTTGAAGTGTGCTCGTTTATCTTTATCCGAGAACGTGCGCTTCAAAAGCTCAACGTATTGCTCAGGAAGCACATGCTTCATTCCAGATCCCGGCACCTGAGGTGTATAGCACTCCAAATCTGCCTCATCGCACCACCTTTGTTTTTTTTACACCGGCCCCAGATCGAACTTTTAGCAGTGGACCATGTGCGGGCCAGGCAAGGCCCGATCGCCTGTTTGTAACCATCCTTGGACACTCAAAGTGGCGAATGATACAGCAGCCAATCCTCGAAGGGACCAGATGGCCTGTACCTGACCGTCGTCCAAGCATTCGCCTCCTTCGTAAGCTTTCCCACGTGGGGCTTCAACTCGGCCCGCAAAAACATGTGGTGTGTGCCGTCTGCCATTTCAACCATGTGGGTAAGTGGTTCCTAAACTGACACCACCTTAGCCGGACCACCTCAGCATGCAGACAGATCATGGGACTTGCCACGTAAAGAAGGGACCAGTT